CCCTACATTAGCCTCAATCTTAATTTCCAGCTGGCCTGTGATTTAACTCTTCTAGGGAGGGAACAAAGATCTATCACCTTCTAGGATTTTATAGGCTGACTTTCAGCTGTGAAAACATCCTATCTTGATGAAGTCAAATTAAACTCATGCATTTCATGAGCATTTATCAAAGCTGCTGAAATTTCTTTTGACAATTTCTTTTATTGAGCATTAGATTTTGGGGAGTTGGTCTCAACAACTGAGTATCAAATCTGATAGAGCCAGCCAGAGCATCTGTGTGGTAGTGCTACAAAACACCCTGTCCAGCACTGCAGCCTTGCCAATAGTGATTATCCTGGATATCTGAGAATATTTCTCTCTAGCATTCTCCTGCTTAAGCTTCAGCTTTATCAGGCCTAATTAGAGAATTATTTGGTACCAAATGCCTGAGCTATCCAAATCAAAACAAGTAACTTCAGATAAGTTTGATTATAATAGTACTTATTCTTCTTTTGCTGAAAATCAATGCAAATTGTTGCTAGCTCACTCCTTTCATCCTTTTTTCTGATTTTAAATCTTCATAAAATGACCTCAGACATCAGCTTCAAAAGAAATCAGATGAAATGCAAAAATCTAGACTGAAGTTTTTTATTTGCAGTGGGTAAATGCCTAAAAATCTGATCTTTGTGGTTCTCTGATCTTTCAACAAAGATAACTTATCAAAGGGCATCTACTGACCTCTGCAAGAAAGTGTTTTCCAGGTGACAAAGGGTCAGGTATTCTGTGATCAAACTTTATATTGCTTAAATAAGATGTCACCTGCTAGACTTCTTTATTCCAGTAAAGCAGATTTGCTAGTGACACCTGTGCATCTTAAAGGATTATACGCAACAATCTTTGTTTGTCCAGGCAGCTGATAGGTGGGTCTTGTCTCTAACAGATCCCCAGAGACCAGAGGAAGACAGCAGTTGGTAGAAGGATTTCTGAAAACAGCCTCTCTTCGGAGGACTTGGATGTTGGAGAGAAGAGCCATAGTACATCAGGTCAGTAAACCTCATGGTTTTGTTGTTTGTTTGGGTTTTCTTTTTATTTTATAAAACTACTTTATACAATACAATGGAAATAACTTTTACCTTTCAGAAATGGAAGGAACTTCAGCCATCTTCCATCTGTAAGGTCCATGGGAGCAATGCATTTAGTGTATTGAGTCTTGCTGTGAATTTTAAAGCATTTATACCCTAAAGCACAGGAAACTGAGGCACAGGAGATAACTAACAAGTTAAGAAATAGAACCCATTATTTTTCCCTGTGTTTTAATCCCAGAACAATCCTAGAACTATTTTTAATAGTCATACTAATTTAGAAGGTAGTGAACAGACAGACAAGACAATATGCCTTCTTCCCTTAATTCTCATCCCTCTTCCCTTGTCCAGACACAGGGAACTACAGCCAGCCTCATGACTTGAGAAAAATTACGTATTTTTCATATGTTTGGAGATTCTTTTCTAACAGTTACAATCTTTTGTGTTTTCAGCCTATGGCTAATGTTGTATCTCACTACTTAGTGATGCAGATTGTGTCCTTATTTGAGCAATAACGGAGAGAATGGCCAGAACTATTTACATTTGTTTATTGTCCCTAAAAGAGGGACCTCAGTGATTAATGCAACTTTTTAGTCATTGAAGGCCACTAGCTAGTGAAAGGTCTTTTCTTTTTATCATCTTTATTGAACAATTAAGCTATTACTGAAGACCTCACCATTCTACAAGGAAGTTAGATAGCAAAGCAATCACAGGAGCTGGCTTTTCAAACCTATTTGGCTAACATCTGATAGTGAAATTGAAAGATGGATGGCAAGTAATGGGGCATAATTCTGTGAGTCGGGAGATCTGCACCTGTGCAAAGACTTAAGCTCCCAAATGTTCCTTTCCTCTTGAGATACAGATCATTCAAATGATCCTGCAAGACTAAACTGAATTATTTTGTAACTTGTTTGTTTTCGAGATCCTCACAAAGTCATGTGATAAATTATTTCCATGGAGAAGGTGGAAGTGGCAGGTGAGACTTCCTTCCTTTCTTCCCATGTTTTCCCCAAAAGATTTGGACAACTATTCCACTACAGCAGTGATGTGTATTTCCATTTAGCCACTGTAGCAGCTGCTTTCAGTGGACAAAACCAGCACAAGAGTCTTCACTGTTAAACTGTTTGCTTTCATCACTTTTGAGACCACTGGCTGCACACACCATCTGGTGAATATGCTACTTCTGAAATTAGCTGGATTAATTACGAGACTTGGAGCATAAACCTTCGACTGAAACATTTCAGATCTGGAATTTCTGTGGTCTTGGAAGTGGTGAAGGGATGGGATTTGTAAATCTTTTCTGTACAGAGACAGGTCTACTGGTGTTCCTGAAAGTTACCCTTTATTCATGTAGTTCTTTTTCCAGGGCATCTTGTGGATACTAATCCAGCACTCAGCCCAGATAAAGCAGAGACCAAGAAAAGCCTGGAGATGCCTCGTTTAACAGAAACTTCAATAAAGGACAGGCTGGCAAAGTATCAGGCAGCTGTGTCCAAGCAGGGCAGTTCCACAGGCCTCATTACTACGGTAAGTCTGTTCTTTGGCTTCTGTGGAGGTTAATTTTTGTCCCAACCTCAAACTGGAAAGAAGATGTTATGGAAACCAGGCTTTTTGAAGATAATGCCATATTTTCTTGAGAATAACTTTGTGCCCATAGGAGTAATTTCTGATGAAGAGTTGCCTCTACATACTGCAGGAAGAAATAAGTATTTGCATCTTCCTGGAATAATCTTGAAAGTTTTCCAAGGACTTAATTGCTGGCACCCTGACTGAGGTCCTTCTGAAACACAGCTGACATTCTTTTTCTTTTTGCATGTCTGTAGCTCTTTGCATGTTTGTTGTTGGTTTTTTGTTTTGTTTTGTTTTTGAAAAACCCTCAATTCTGTGTTGTACATTAGCTGTAAGTTAGAGGGAACCGAGACACAGTAAGATGGAGTGACTTTCAGTGCATAGAACCTGGATCTCTTGGCCTGCAGCTTTGGGATCTCCAGTCAGTTTTCCTCCCTTTTGGTTTTCACCTCCCTTCAAGTCTTCTCACTCATTATCTGAATCCAATTAGACTCTTGCAGTGAATGAACTCGTGCCAATTTTGCAGATATTTGATTAGGAAATGAGTAATTAATGAATCATGGTAAAGTATTGTCGCTGAAGAGATTACAAGAATCTAAGCTTTTGTTAAAAAGTGCTTAAGTACATTTGCTGGAACTGTCTGACACTTTTGCTTAACGATGGGAACTTTTATTGCTTAAGTATGACTTTTGTAAACCAGAGTAATAAATTTTAAGAGGATAGGCCTTTTTAAGTTGGGAAACTTGCACTGGAAATAAAAGCCAAAAATGCTGGTTCTAAGCTTTGGAAGAGTGCATGCTTCCTGAGTATCTTTGTAGGGAGGCAGAAGTCTTTACCCAGCTGAAATGATTTCTGAATTTCATATGCAGTGTGGGTCTAATTCTCCAACCCTTGGGAGGGAGTAAACTACACAGCATGAGTGGAAAGTAATTGCAGCCAGTGCAACAAATCTGATTAACTGCTAATTGCTGATTTCTGCATCCTGTTTCTTGCCTGGATTCAGTTTGCTAGATTGCCTTTTACAGTTTGTGGCTCAGGGTAGTAGCTGATCCACTAAATTATGTCCTAATGGCAAGAGATTTACCATAGATGTCTCCTGAGACTCTTGTTTGCAAATCCCCAGCGGTGTCAGTTTGAGTGTCAGTCCAGCCTGATGCTCTTGGGAGATCCCATTTGGCACAATCTGGTTCAGTTTTGGCCTGGCACATCGACAAGGGCAGCACGTAAGATGGAGCAAACAACGGTTTCTGAGGCCAATGTTTGCAGTACTTCTGTGTTCCAATAGCAGCCATAACTCTTGGATATTCTCCTTCTCTTGCTGACAAAGCAACTAGGGCTCTTTTGATATGGTAGTGTGGTATTTGTACTTCCCTTCTCTTAAAATGTGTCACATCTGCGCTACAAAGGAAAGCTACAGCCTGTCTTGGGAACAGCTATTTTGAGGTCATTGTGGTGTGGATGAAAACTGATAGACATTTTTAGTGTTGGTTAGAGTAAGGGTGAGAAGCAATCATTTCTATGCATTGCAAGGGATACAGGAAGGGGAGGGAGAGATGATAGGCAGCATATTGAGACATCTATACATTAAAATTCTAACGTTCAATTACATACCTATTAGACATGGTTGGTTTCCTGCAGACTTGTTTACAAAATCCAATAAGATGCTGGTGCTGGCATTTAGCTGTTTCTCTTTCATGTTACAGAGAAGATGCCTTGTGAGAGGCACGAGTCTCTCTCCAATTATCTTATATCCTGGGGCAATGAAAGAAACACAAGGTTTCACTGGATTTATTTTTTTTTTTAAAGTCTGAATGATTTTTTTCGTGATTTTCACAAGTCAATTTGTACAAAACCTCAGTAAATAACAACTTACTAGTTTTTGACTAGTATTGAAGCAAGGGGTAGGACTTGCTTTTATGTCAAATTGTATTTTTCAGTTACACAGTGCTTTAGATAGTACTTGTCTTGCAATAGTTGTGATTTCAAATGAAAATTAACATTCCTGGAAAAGGAAGATGTGGATTGAGCAGGGGAAATGAGAGTTGATTTTAAACAGGAATCTGGAAATAGAGAAAAGGGGTTGTTTAGAAAAATGCTGGCATTACCTCCATAGAGCATAGTAAAATTCTACAGCCCCATCTTTTTTCTTCATTAGAATGTACCACTTACCAAGTCTGTATAGATTTTAATGCCCTTTCCTTTAATTATCACTCTATATACTAGGAAAACAGTTTAAAAAAAGGTTTTAAGAAAAACAGAAAGCAAGTACTTGCCTAGGGGAAAAGAACCTGTCAACTTTCAAGTGCTTTATTCTATAGAATGAGATTCAAGCCAGTGAAAGTGAACTCAAGAATTACAAATCTGAGCAGAAGGAGAATATGCCACCAAGTCTTGAGGACTCCATTTCCTATCAGGATGGGGAGAAGGTAAGATGCTCATAATGGTGAAGATCAAGGACTTCACTTTAAGTGGAACTAGTTGTAGAAGCACAGCTGATATACTTGTTCCACATGCTATCTAGAAATTGAATATGAGCAGCTGGTACAGATTATTTACATGCTGCAGAATTCCTGATTTTTTTTTTTTTAATTATTTTTTTAGACTGTATTCTGAATTATAAGCTAGCAAGTCTCTGTGGAAGACTTTGAAGCAGTTGTAGAGAGTATCTTGAGACAAGTTTTAAGTTTTCTTGGAGATTTCCCCTGTCTTTTCAGTAATGACATGCCTGTAGTGTGGCAGAATCCTTCAATATCGTATGTATCTATTTTCTGATGGCTTCAGTAGCTGATAGGGCTGAAATCTCTGAGGGTTTTGTGGGGGTGTTTTGGTTTGGTTTTGTTTTGTTTTGTTTTTCTTTTTTCACTCTGCTATTAATTTTTTATGACTATGATGAAGCCACCTAAGCATTTTTTGTGTCTAACCATAAAAAGATGATTCACAGCCAGGGATTTGTTTTGTTTGTGGGTTTTGGTGCTGTGCTTTGGGTTTGTATTTTTTTTTTT